GGCTTAAAGCTCACAAGAGTCAATTGTGTGTAATGTACCTTTAAGACCTTTAAGCATTTTTTATATCCAAAAAGTTGTTTATACATGTTTGCTGTGTGTTTTGTATGAAAGAGTGTGAATTTTATTTTCCATATTTCTGGTCCTATAGCTTTTATTACAGCCATATGACACAACTACAGCAGCAGATTGTGAAATAACAGGTTGTACTGAAAAAAAGGATATATAACACTTCATTAGGGCTTAAAAGGGAGAGTTTTAATAGCGAAATTAAGAAAAAAATCCAGGCGAGGACAAATGTACTAAAATTGCCTTTAAACAACGATGTCAAATAATCATATGGGCTATCAATTTTGATGATAGGGGAATTATACGGCTTTAAATCGCTCTAAAATGTCGATGTTGCATAATATACTGTATCTCCCCTTGTACTGTGATCACCACTCTGAGAATTAGTGTACATTGTATTTCCTGTTGCGTAACCACCTGGACATACATTACATGATCTTAACGCACAGACTGTTGTTACAAGATCTTACTCCCTTTTTGCTAAAGTGAACGCTCAAAACAATTGCAATTCCAAAGCCATTAGCGTTTGATATTACTGTAATTACTGTGTACATTTCATTATGTTCTTGCCTATTAAAGGAGTGCTCAGTGTGGAGGGGAGGCTACGGCTTAATCTCTACTCTCTGTGTTACGGCGTGCCACAGTACTCAAAACAGCATTAAGAGCCACATAATCAGAGGGAACTAATTGCCAATGATTGCATAAATGAAGTGCTTTATGTCTACGAGGGCCGAGGCTGAAGTCCAGTCTCCGAGCGCCTCCAAAGCACCACAATGGAGCCATACGCCGACATAATGTGAGAAAGCGCTCAATATGTCCGCCAGGGGGTACGACTTTTATGTTTTATTTATTTATTTTCCGCTATCATCAGAGTTACCACAGAGAGACGAGTGAGGTAGAAAAAAAAAAAACTGGAAAAAAAACCCCGAATGCCCACCATTTGAGAAATGAATTTATCGTGGCTGCTGTCTTTTTCCCCATTAGTAAGTGTTTAGTTCAGCGTTTTAAATAATTGCGTTACCAGGAATGATATTTAAAATACATTTGGGAGTCAATGAGGCGGGAAAGTGCCTACATGTTTTGCTGATGATACCCGGGCCATTTGGAAGACATCAAAGTAGAGAGGAGGTAGCCCAGATGCATATTATAAACTCATTATAGATATCATTTAAAAGGATGTAGTGCAGCCGCAAAAACAATATTCCTACTCTCTCTTTGGTAATGTGTGTTTTCAAAGTTGAAACTCTTACTCGCTCCCAGTTTAATGTGGCGTCTATTACCAAACTGTAACATAAAATAAATGGGCTTGATTTCCATAGCGCCAGTCGTTTAGGTGGAGATGGCGTTTCGGATGAGGAGGTTGGACTACCTGTGGTGCCGACCTTGTTTGCCTCTGCCTTTCTGATGATAATAGATAAGAGACATTCTACAGTGTGCACTTGGGAATCAGTAGATGTAATTACACTGTAATTATACAACTATAAAAGTGATGGAATAGAATATGAACTACACACAGAGGCACGGTGTAATAATATAGGCTGTGTTTTAAAGTGCCTATAGGTTAGACCATTCATTTTACTCAAACACTGTTAAGATCATTCTTTTTCAGATTTTACTTAAACATGTACAATCTTTGAGAGTTTGGCCAATTTTTACATGTCAAATTTTGCTTTTTGCTCGGAAATCATGACGTCACACAAGGGAATGCCGTAGCTGTTTCCTAGCAACCGTCTTGTACGCTGGGCCAAAACTCCTCTAATGTAAACAGACATTAATATTTGACAAATAAAAATAAGAAAACACCATTATTTTTGTTGAAATAATGTTTAAAGTATCAGAAAAATATGTTTATTTTGTGGCAAACATTTGGACAGAAGTCTTCTAATGTGTGACTCTATAATAGAACTAATTTTCAGCATATGTTTTCTTCTTCCCACTCCTTTTTGGGCCAATTTTTGTTGTTGGTGGTGGTGGTGTTGTTGTTGTTGTTATTTCTGCTATGATTTCATTAATGTTATGTGTTCCATTGTAAAAGAATTGAAAAAAGACTTGCCCAAAATGAATACATAAATCAATCAAAAAAACATCTTTTTCAACTTTTCTTCCCAATTTGTTTCTTGATCTGGGTTTAAACTAGTTAAACTACTACTACTAATAGAAATATTGTGATATTGTATCATCAGAAGTCTCACAGTAATACCTTGGGCTGTCTCAATTTATCAAATCAATGGTTTTATAGTAGCAACAGCTTATAGGCATAAGGAACCACATATCCCATGATTCATTTCAGTGCAGACAACATGAAGAAATATGTTTTTTACTTGAATTCTTGGGATTATGATGGAAATAATTCACACCAAAATCTTGTCAAGGTATTTTAAAAGCAAAAAAGTGTCCTATCTACAATTATATCAGCCTCTCCAAAATATCGCAATAAATATCGTACCGTGAGATGTATATTGTGATAATATTGTACCGAGAGATTTGGATATCGTTACATCCCTATAGTTAAAACTATTATTTACATTTACAATAGGTATTATTCCATCAAGTTCGGTCAAAATTAGAGAATCATCCTTGATGCACTAGTGTTAACTTCCTCTTTCAGCTCCACACAGTACATAGGCCTGTCACAATAACAAATTTTGAAGCACAATATATTGCCACATAGAATAATATTGAAACTACTTTATGTCACTGACAGAATGCAGGATAATCCCAGTGAACCTGTTTTTAAATATATGAAGGTATAAGATAAGAATCACCAGAGTAATTCTTGTATTCATTTTTTTTCATTTCTCAGTAAAATACAATGACCAGATTTGTGTTGCTTTTTGTCATATAGTAGTATAGTTTAATTGTTAACTAACTTGATGAACATTCAGTATTGGATTACATTTTACTAGGGATGTAACAATAACCGAAATGTAGTGAAATCGCATCGTCAAAAGTCTCACAATAATATCGTGGGGCATCACAGTATATCGAATGACAAGTTCCTTTGTTTAAATACATGGTTTTACAGTAGCACTAGGAAACTTCATATCCCATGATTCATTTCAGCGCAGACAACATGAAGAAATTGTCTTTTACTTGAATTCTTGAGAGTATGATGTTAATAATTCACACCAAAATCTTGTCAAAAAGCATCCTATCTACAATTATCTCAGCCTCTCCAAGATATCACAATAAATATCGTAATGTGAGATGCATATCGTGATAATATTGTATGAACAGATTTGGGTATTGTTACATCCCTACATTTTACATATTTACATTTTTACTGATGGGACCTGAAATTTAAAATTTGTTATAAGAAAATAAGACAGCATGTTCTAACTTGTTGCAACAGAGTGGTTAACGTTATGAAATATCAGATCAGCTGTTGCGCACAGACTGAAGAGTGATAATTCTCAGCTGTATCCTGTGGCATTAGAAGAGGACACGTGGGGCACGGAGCAGCAGACAGCTCAGTGTAATGTGCACGAGCAGGGAGGCGTGCACGAGCAGAGACATCCATTAAGCACTGACAGACTCGGAGCCCAGACACTTTACACATGCGACACAGACAAAGCACTTTTGTTTGGTGGCATAAGCAAGAATATGAAGCTTACTGTTCTGTTTACTGTAGTGTTTTTGTTTGTTTCTAACAAGTTTTAACACTTTAAGTTCTAACATTTGATATGTATACTTTTGGAACAATTCAAAAAATAGACATGTTATTTTTTCCCCTCAAAGTTGATTCATCAGCTGGTTTCACTTCATGAAAAACCGTCTGACCTCACAGCATTAGATTCATTCATTCATTCGCTCGACGGTAGGCAGGTACATTTTTTATTTAACCAATCACTGCTATTTGGTCGTGACATATGTAATGCACCAAATCCTGTAGGAAGAAGAGCAATAACGTCTTTCCCCTTGGTAAAATTCACCAAACATTCTCTTTCTTCCATCTTTAAATCCTCGATCTCAGGAATTGTTGCCAACACAAAATGTATGGCTTTGTCTACATCCATCTCGACCGCTTTGTTTACTAGTCCAATGAGGTTCATTTGGTCTTCCGATAATCTATGTTATTAGGTTCTTTTTTCTGCTGACCGGACACGTCACAGCAACGTTACGTGACCACTCTGAGGAAGACCACTAGTGAGCAGTTGAAACTGTCAGGTACGAAAACAAACTCTTGCTGCTTTGTTTACTGTTGTGCTGTACCACAAAATGGACCCAGACAGGAGCTTGAGTTTGACGTCATGACTTCACAGCTCTCAGGTTTACAACTTCTGGGGTTCTTGCAAACCATCTAGTGAATTCTGATTCTTGACCTAGTCGCTGGAGGAAAATGAAATTGAGCAGAGGCACTAGGTGGTGCTAGCCTGACTAGGAGAATTACTAGGCACCTACAAAACATATTTACATGTAACCCTAACCCAGCTGACCTACTTTTATTGTACCAATCCATGTTGACAAAAAAATAATAAAAAAGTAATATGAGTACAATAAATGTAAAGAAGAAGAAGAAAATTTTTTAAAAAAAGAAGAAAATTAGGCTATACATGTAACTATAAGATGTGTTTAAATGGACAAAATTTTAGGCCTGTTTTATTATTTTTCAGTTCTTTACTACTTTTTGTGTAAGGAAGAAGTCAAACTAATAAAAAGTGCAGTTTTTAAGTGTTTAAGTGGTAGGTTTAGCAGATTTTTATTACAGATCCATGATTTTAGCCAAAAATGTGGGCAAACTATCGAAGCATCATCACCAAATACTTTCTTCAAGTGTTACAAAAAAAATTATAATCTCAAAATCCTGCGCGTTATGATGTTAGGACATTAATAGGCTCTGTGCTGTGCTACAACCCCCAAATTACAGTTCAAAGTTCCATCCGATTCCGAACCATTGCGCACTGAACCTGTTGGACTCTGTCTGGCCCCGAGGCGCAGCAGCAGCGGGTCAAGTCTCTCCTCGCCACATAAAAATAGCATTACTGCCCGGTCACGCTGCGAGGAGGGAGGGCCCATACCAAATATCACAACACGGGGACAGCTAGGGGGCACACGGTGGACATTAGCCTCTATCGGTGATCTATCGGCCTATTTTTCGGAGCACTGCGAGGGGCGAGCCGAGCGCCATGTCCCGGGGCAGCTTCGTCTTCACCCCCACGGCCCTGCGCTCCCTGGCCGTGGACGCGGAGATGCTGGAGAGGCAGAGGCACAGCAGGCAGACCGCGGCGTCCTACAGGGGCTACATGTTAAAGAAGGAGGCGAGGGAAAGGGCGGCTCTGAGGCCTAGCGCTGCCTCCTCCGCGGTCGTGGTCCCTCCCGCCGTGTGCCAAGACCCGGTGGTCCAAAACGCGCTCTACACCGGGGACCTGGAGCTTCTGCAGCAGCTCTTCCCCAAAGGAGCCCGGGTCAACATGGTGATCGAGCCGCAGGGAGGAGACATGCGCTGGGTGGCGGAGGGAGACGGTGAGAGGCTGAGTTTGACTAAAGGTTGATGGTTCCAATCCCACTCAAGATATGTTATGCTGTTGTGGTGCCCTTGAGCAGGAAATGTCACTCATTTGGCCCAATACATGTCCATGGGTCAGTCTCGGGGCAGTTATGACTAGCGTGAGCACCTGTCCCTCTTTTCGGTATTTAGGCCCCATCCCTTGTCCTAGTTTAGAGAATGTCCCACTTTATCACTGATGCAACATAAATTGATTAAACTGTGAGATTTACATTAAAAAAAACAAAAAAAACAACACAACAATGTATTACTGTTTTTCCACAAACGAATCAATAATGTTTGGGGTGTACTGGCATTCAGGTTTGTAACATGTAACATCTCTCTCTCTCTCGTGGTTTTATTGCAGTTATTTTCCATGAGTTTGTCCCAAAATGTCCCACCATGTTCAAGATATCCTTTTTTTCTATGAGGTGGTCACCTAGCCTTATTCATCAGCCGGTTTCACTTTGTAGAAACCGTCTGACCTCGCAGCATTAGGATTCGTTCGCTCGATGGTAGGCAGGTACTTTTTTTTATTTAATCAGTCGCTGCTATTTGGTCATGATGTATGTAATGCGCCACTAACAGGGCTAAATGGTATATTAAGCTTTTCCCAAATCCCGTAGGAAGAAGGGCAATAACGTCTTTCCCCTTGATAAAATTCACCAAACATTCTCTTTGTTCTGGCTTTAAAACCTCAATCTCGGGAATCGTTGACAACAATTAATGTACGGCTCTTCACTGATTGGCAGGTGCCTAAACTCGCACTTCCGGGGTTTTTGCAAACCGTTTAGTGTATTCCAATTCCTGACCTAGTTGCTGGAAAGAAATGAAATTGAACTGAGGCACTAGGTGACTCCAGCCTGGCTAGTGGTCACCCTAGTTATGACCAAAAGTAGCTGCCGCCAGTTATGAGTGATGAGTGAACAAAAGCTTAATAATAGGTCTACTGTCGTACTCATAACAACGTAAAATGTACAGCTACATTTAAAAATGCCAATGAATATTTAGAAGTAGATCAGGCCATATGCTTAAAATGTTATTTATGTTAACTAACTACAACCACCAGGGGTCAGTAACGAGACAAATGAATGCTCTAGTTTCTGAGTGTTAAGTGACCAGCATGGACACTAGTTTTATTATCAGTACCTCATGCACATATTTTCTGAAATAATACCACTTTAACAAAATTCGTACAACATAACAAGCTGTGATACAAATCCATAAGTTTACGTCATTTGAACATGAACATTGCAAAACCACATGTTATGGAAAGCAGCAGAGTTTTGGCTCGTGTGGCCCTGCACATGTGAGTTTGTTGTGTCAGCCCAAAGATCAAATAGCAGCCCTGAAATAGCCCTGCTCTCACAAACAGCTTCACAAGATTTCTGTTCTGGAGATCGAACTTAAACAAACTGTTTAAAATGGCGTACGTTGGAACCAAAGTGAAGTGGCGCAAAGAAAAGAAGTATCGCTCAGATGTCATCGCCACGGCCAAGGCGACGGGCTGCGAGCTGCAATTCTGGAACTCTCTGCTGGTGGGAGACGAGCTCACCCTCATCAGTATCATGGACGATGAAGAGTATGGGTATCTCGTAGACGCCATCTACGACACCAGCAACATCGAGGAGTGGAAAAACTACAGGTTCAACTATAGAAACCTCAGTATGTGTGTCTAAATCTTTTCCCTGATTAACTCATGTGCACTGGCTCTTTATTAGTGTAGTGCAAGGATCTATATCATTCATGTGCATAGTCCAACTGTGCAATATATGTGCACTTACTGTCTGAATAGTGCTGATTTAGTCCATTGCTGTTCGTGTCATCATGGGATTATGCATTTGCAAGCAGATACAGCTGAAGACAGCCACTTACACTCCTAATGTAACAGAGAAACAGTGGATATGTTTACAAAATTGGATCCTTATCTGATTTCTGGAGTAATCCGATTATTGAAATGTCATGTAAACAGAACTTCTGATGTGATTTATTTCTGATTGTTTTGCACCTGTGTTGGGTCTGACAAGAAAATTATTCAGAAAAAGGCAAACTAATGTGGCAAAGACTCAAATGAAAGGGAAAATGTTAAAGATTGAGAGTTATTTTGAAATGTATTGTACTTAAACTTTCAGTTAAAACCAGTTACTCTAAAAAGCCACATGCGACAAGATCTATTTATTCTCTGATTATTTAAATGATCAGATTGAGTGAATGAGTGTTGTGTTGTGGAAGTGTAAAGTCTACATGCAGTCAAAACTTACAAAAAGTAACATCACAATATCATAAGCAAAATGTGGAAAGTACATATTTCTACACCAAAGTTTGAAATATACACTTTAAGCTCCAAGCCACAAAAACACAGATAAGTGTACAGTTATTTTATCTGTGTTCTGTCCTGTTTTGTTATGGTTGTGTTGCAGGACTTTGGTCTCTGACGTACGAGCAGGAGCTGACCACTCCTCTGCACATCACTGCGTCCCGGGGCTTCTCAGACTGTCTGCGTCTGCTGCTGCAGAGGGGGGCCGATGTGGAGCTGGCCCCTGGGGGCTGTACGGCCCTGCACGAGGCCTGTGAGGACTGTCGGCCCGAATGCACCAAGCTCCTGCTGCTACACGGAGCTAATGCGAACGCTGTGTCCGAGGAGGGGCTCATGCCTCTGCACCTCTGCACTCAGCCACAGTCTCTTGAGTGAGTACAATTCAAAGTATTTATCTGAATCTCTGTCTGTGTAGCACTATACAGTATTACAATGTACAAAACAGAAAGGCTGGTCAATGAGAAGTGAAGCGTTTGGGTTCAACATATAAAATGTATTCATCTAAATTAGGGCTGGGTCTCATTAAGAAGTTGCCAATACGATACATACCTCAATCCACGGGTCACGATACGATACATATCTCGATACAGTGCACTTTTGATTCGATACAATATATTTCAAATCAATTTGATACAGTTCAATAAATAATAAAGGCTAAATGATGGCTGTGATACTAAAAGTCTTTGTTAAATCACTTCTTGTGCAATTTTCATATGAAACACACCCATTTTAATCATCAAAACAGTGAAAATGTCAAATGTGTCACATAAATCAGTTTCCCTCCTCTAAACAAGCAACAAAACTGTAGCTGTAACAAAATGATTTAGTAAAATGTACCAAAAATACTCTTGGTGCTATATAGATACAGCAGCCCACGATATTGGTACTGTATCATAACATTAAACGATACTATATATCGATAGTTCAATAATTTTGCACACCCCTAATCTAAATTGTTCCTGAAATACAGTAGGCAGGGCCGCTCACAGACTTACTAGGCCTTGGGAAAAGAAGGCATATATGGGCCCCTTGTAAACAAAAAAGGTCACAGTCTCTAACCAGACCCCAAACCATTTCTACAGCACCTCTGATTATAACATGTGTTACTTATGGTGTTGTTATGTAAACAGTGGCAGCATATGGCAGCAGCTGGGTGTACACAGTTTTAATGGACTCAATCTGACCGTTGTAGAACATCCAAAGTGCTGTCCCACTCCAGTGGATCTGATCCTTATGTTCACACACATTTTCTGTAATCTTCTGTAAATACTTACCATAACAACCTCTAATTGTGCCACACATTTGTCGACTAATTGCGTTGGCAGATGCGCCAAGTACCTCCTCCAGTACGGTGCCGCAATCAACGGGCGCACGGTAGACGAGGACGACACCCCCCTGCACACAGCCGCCAGGAACGGTCTGCCCGAGCACGTGGACCTGTACCTGCGCTACGGGGCTCAGCTGGACCGGCCCAATGACGAAGGGCTCACGGCGCTCAACGCGGCCTGCTCCCAGCCACAGGACGCCACCCAGCTGGAGAGATACCACCGCGTGTGCCAGATCCTGATAGGAGCAGGCGCCAGCGTGCAGACCATGGACCAGGACAGACACACGCCCCTGCACATGGCCTGTAAGAACGCTAACCCAGACGTAGTAGATCTGCTGCTGGCTAACGGCGCCTGCGTGAATGACATGGACTACGGCGGCGAGGCTCCCATGCACAACATCCTCAAAGTGGTGTGCTACAAGACGTCCCATCAGCCCGAGAGGGTGGTCCGCGCGCTGCTCAACCACGGCTCCATCAGGGTCTGGCCTGGAGCTCTGCCAATGGTGAGTCCCTATAGGCTCAGTGTGGAAGTGTCTGTGTCTGTGTGCTGGTTTCACATGACAGCACAATATTCTATAGGCCAATTTTATTAAGTACAGATGTGGGGCAGCTAAAATGAATAGTTTGAAATAGTTTGTGTATTTATTTTTTGGATATTTCATGGCAGAGTACAATGTCATCATCACATTCTAGAATATGAAAAACACCAATACTGAAGCTTTATTGTTGCTATAGCACATGTTAAATATGTGGATATAATATGCACAATATAATGTGTATGTGCCTGTCACTTTCCTTTTGAACACAACATTCTATGTTTGACGCCCTCTGCTGGCAACAGTGTGGATTGAAGCATTCAGAAATGAAAAAATAGCAGCATGGAAATTACCAACATGATTCTAATGGATAGATGCTTCATGGGGAAGGCAGTTTAAAGCAATTAAAGTACAAAAATGTGTGTATGTGCTTGCGTGAGTGCATTTGTGTGTGTGTGTGTGTATTACAAAAAAAAGCACAAACTCGTGAAAAGTACATCTGGATTGATAAACAAAATGTCATCTAGAACACAAGGCTGTTTCAATCAGTGAATGGTGTAATGTTGTAATGTGAAACATGAGAAACATGTAAAACTGTATATACATTTCAAATGTTACACCGTTATACTGACAGTAGTTTTCATCGTCTTATTTCCTCCACATCTTTAATACAGAGTATGTTGTGGTTAAAACATATGAACAGAATCTACTAGACTTATCGTTCAGTGTATGACAGATGGAATCATATTTTTAGGGTCAGTATTTATCGCGTGTACATTTTCTTTGCACTACTGTGACATTTCTGATCATTTTTGGCTATAATATGAGATTTGAACTGTAGAATGTTGAATTAAAAACTTCTGTGACAGATGAACACTAAGTACTGAAGTGTTTCAATCTGCTGTTTATTTAGTGCAGCTCATGATTTTTTAACAATATTGTAGATTAAGAATAGTCTTTTGTGGTTTAAATCTGCTATTGGTCTTACTTTTAAAATTCAGAATTTGTTATTGTGACAGGCTTTGTATCCACACATACTAACGCAACACTAAAGCACAAACCCAAACTAATGTCAGACTCCCAGATGGATCGACTGTGATGTGAGCCCGCCCCGTGCTCTTACAGCTTGTACCACACATGTATGAAGGTGGCTCATTTGGCGTAATTATCTGGTGTCACACGTTGAGTAAGCGTCTTGAGACGTCTCCTCACTCTGTCTCAGCCTTCACGCCTTCAAATCACTCCCATTTTATGACACAACATGAAGTGTAGCACCCGCTGTGGGAAACCGACTACAACTACCACTGATCCACGTGCACTAGACAAAATGCCGGCTTCCTAATTAGGCAAGTGTTAATAGGAGATTAATTAGCACTAATTGCATAATTTCCAGTTAAACCCCTGGAGGGAAGACCAATCTGTTCATTTCCAAGTGTTTAATTACTTTGTTTCTTCAGTTCTGTGCAGCGCTCTCCCTCTCTCTCCAACTTAAATGATGATTGCGTTGCTTATCTCTGTGTTTCCTTTAGGTTATGAAGCACTGTTCTAAATCTCCACGCACAATTGAGGTCCTTCTGAACGCTTACAGCCACCTCAAAGTCAACGACAACTGGGTAGAAGCTGTACCCCAGGAAAGCTATCAGGTATTTCAAGACGGGGAAAAAATACTAATTGTAATTTTTGTGAAAGTGACATATGTTTTAATAAATCAAAACTTGCTTCACTGCGCACGTTTTTGAGGAGAGACTGAAACATTAACGACCAAACTAATACGAGAATCATATTTCAGAAGAGTCTGGAGAGTAGCAGGTGTCATATAAGACCCCGTGGAGATAGGGCTTTTTTACTTTCTGATTGCTAATGTTATTCAAGTTGATATTTTGATTTGATTCTTTTCATATAGGACTTTAACGGTTAATCGACTAATCTTGACTCGCGAATAGGGGACGAGATACAATTCACATGAAACGAGACGAAACACGAGATTGAGACAAAACGAGACTTTGACATAATAATAAATACTTTTTGCAGTTCAGTTAAAAAATTTGGCCTCATTATTTTTGACTGATTTGCAGCACTGCTTTTGGAATTACAGCTTCTCAAAAAATTGCAAGTGCGTAACCCACATGAAAAAAATAACTGTAGTCATATTATGGTCATTGTAAACGTTATCTAGATTATACAGACTCTAAAGATATGAGCAGATCTTTTTATTACAAAGACAGAGACTAAGCTATTTCTGATTTACTCAATAATACACTTTGGTTGTAAATATTCTATATCTACAAGTATAGTTCAACCTTACTGATCTTGTACAACAGAAATAATCGAAAAATTAATTGCTGACAAGTAAAGCTGTAACAATAACGAAAATATCGTGATATTGTATCGTCAGTCTCTCAATAATATCATGGACCATCCCAATATATCGAATCACAAGGTTCTCTGCTTAAATTCATTGTCATGGTGCAGCAATAGCTAAAAAAAAAAAAACTAGAAAGAACTACATTGACCATGATCCTTTGGTCCGATTTGGTGCAAACTACATGAAGAAATAACAGTTCTAAGCACTTTTAAATCATAGTTCTTTGGATTAAGTCTTGTCAAGGCATTTTAAGAGGAAAAAGTAGCATATTCACAATTTTGTTTGCCTCCACGGAATATCGCAATAAATATCGTACCGTGAGATGTATATCGTGAAAATATCGTACCGTGAGATTTGGATATTGTTACGTCCCTACTAACTAGTTGAACACTAAAATAATCGTTAGTAGCAGCTCTAATTTCATAGCTACAGTTTTACTTCAAAAATGTTCTATATAATTTTATATAGGTAACATTCTGGTGTAAGGAAACTCACTAAATTTCCTCTTTATTTTCTGAACACAAAGCAACTGTGGGCCATAACCCAATAAAAACAAAACAGCAGCCATCCCAACCGTCTCCAAACGGACCAGTAACTGACAAATCAAACCATCATGTAAAATTGTTGGCATAGTATCCAAGTGACACATATAAAAGCAGTTACTTTAACAAGATGTAAACACTTCCAAGAACAATTAAAGGGCTCATATTACACTATTTTATGATCTATGTTATAATGTTGTTTTCTCAACACAAACCTACCTGGACTTGTGTTTTGTTTCATTCACACATTTTTGACACACAAACCCTGTATATTTAGGCTGACTTTATGATGTCATGTGGTAATACAGGAAGTGCTCCACTGTGTTTTAAACTCCATGCACCTTTACTGGAATTGTTTGAATTTCAGCCCTGGGATTGACAAACTCTGCTGTACTAAACTAAACTAAACTTTGAACTGAACTGAATAAAAAAGGAAGCTGTTAACATGAAAACTATTGCTTCATGACATCACAAGGTGGAACAAAGCATTTTGAGCTTTGGAGATGTAGACAGGTTTCTCAAATATGCGTGTGAATGAAACAACACACCACTCCAGGTACATTTTTGATAAGGTAATAACATTATAACATGGCTTGAAGCTCACATGAGTCAATTTTAAGTAATATCAGACCTTTAACACAAAATCTGGTCATTACAATATTGTGTTTTGTGTGTTTTACAGGCACACAAGGATTTTTACGATTCAGTTTTTGCCTTGGCCCAAACCACCAGGTCTCTGCAGCATCTGTGCAGGTGTAAAATCAGGACTTTCCTGGACGGTCGTGTGCACAAAGTGGTCCCTAAACTCAACTTACCTACTTTCCTCAAGAACTACCTACTGCTGGACTACAGAGGCTACGTCCACTAACGCGCTGTGGGCTGGGAGAGATGATGTTCGCTGCTAACACGTGTATTTAAAGGTGCACTGTGTAACTTTTCTTGTTGCAGGTCTGTCCACTACCTACTAGTCCTTTTGAGCATATTATTGGTCTGCTTTAAGGTCCTATATTACACAAAATTTACTCTTGTGAGCTTTAAGCCATGTTATAATGTTATTACCTCGTCAAAAACATATCTGGAGTTGTTTTGTTTCACTCACAAATGTTTGAGTAACTCCTTATTAATAGTCTGTCCACATCTCCAAGTGTGTTTTCAGCCTAAATATTCATCGTTTGCGTGTTAAACATGTGTGAATGAAACAAAACACAACTCCAGGTATGTTTGTGATGAGGAAACATTATAACATAGATCAGAAAATAGTGTAATATGGGCCTTCTAATCATATTTTTGTCTGTTTAATTATGAGTTGCTCCAAAATACACTGAAAAACATGCATTCTTACTGTGAACGAGATTGCCTCTCCCCAGATCTGACCTGTAACATGTCCTAGTGGCGTCACTTGCTAGTTTCCATGGAGATACTTTAACGCTATATCCTTGGAGACACCAGAAAAGTTACATGGCGCACCTTTATAAGAGAAAAAAGTAGAATATATTGGTTGATAATGATGTTGATTTTAGTTTAAACGTGGAGTTTAAATTTGAGATTGCACATTTTAATGGCAACTACTGAAAGCATTAGTTTCCTTCCTTTTTGCACAGTTTGTTTTTAGTGTTTTCCGCCACAAGAGGGAGCTGCAGACTAGAGCAGGCAGCGCAGACGCTAGAAAATATACTTTTTTTTATTATTGCCATATTTTTATTGCTGCACTTTAACTGTAAGGGATGACATTGCTTCTATTTTTGTACACTTATGGTTTTGGTTGGTGTAATATTTGTGGTTTCGAAATATAGTGTTTATATTATATTAGTGATTTGAACAGGAATTCTAAATTATATGATAACACTTAAAAAAAAAATTAGAAAAAAATAAAAAATAAAATGGTTATAAATGGTTACATCTTGTTTTGTGTTCACAGTGACGTTTTTTTTTTAAAGTTGGTTATAAATATTGGCATTCAGTTTGGTAATTGAATCTTAAATCTTAAATTTTATTGCAAAATTTAGGTTAAACATTAGATTTTTTTCGTTTTCTAATTACCTATATTCATTCGTATCAATCTGGAATAAATATTAATAGTTTATATATTTGCTTTTCACGTTTTTTCACCATTTCCCGTCTAAATAAAATGTCCTCCTTCTTTCTCTGCAGGATTTATTTATTTAAATCAAACAGATGAATTCTTATTAATAAATTGGTGAGCCTTTGGTCTTATTTTCAAAACTACATTCAGATTTGGAGTGGCTTTGGCGCCTATTACACCGTGCGTAATCGTGCGTAAAACAGATTATGGCGCATGATTCTGTTCAAATACAACATCTTACATTATAAAACGCTAGAGAATTCCAAAAAGGTGAATGGAGAGGAGTATAGGTAGACCATAATTAACTGTGTGAGGGCCTGGTGTCATGAGTCCTCGGTGAGTGCGCGCGCGAGGGATGATCTGGGCCAATGGTCTCAACACGTTCCCAAAGAGGTGCTTCTTCTGCTCCTGCTATTACACGGCCGCCGGAGTCACTTGCAATTATCAGAATTAGCGTGGCCTGGCCCTTCAGCGCTAATCAGAGTCGGCGGTGATATGTTTATGTCCTCCTCGTGCAATCAGACGAGCGGCTGGAGAGTGCGCGCGCCCCGGACTCAATAGGGCTAATCATCATCAGGCCCCATTGCCATTTGAAAGGTGAAATAATACGCCATTCAACCTACGAAGAGAATGGTTTATATTTTTAAGGATTTCAAACTGAAACCTGCGCGTAAAACCGTTTGGCGAGCTCAAATAAATGTAGAATTCAACTAAAAACGCGGCGTTTCTTTCTAAAGTGCATGCCTTGACTTTGACTATCCACGTCCATAAAAGCAGTTGACCTTTTTTTGTATCTCTCTCCGGGGAATAATTGAGCCGTGGCACTTGCTCCTTTGAGTCCCGCGCCTTTACGCCTTGTTTTAGCCCCTGGAGAACGGGCCAAAAGCGCGTTCAAACATCTGCTTCTCCACTTTTCGCTACTTTCAACGAGCCACAAAAAAGAACAGCGACACCGTTCGTTGTTTTATTTTTTTTCCCTAGGATCCCAAGTAATTACTGGTCATCAATCAAAATTAATAATAGCTGATTGGCTTGGTGTGGTCAACTGTTATGGCAGGGGAAGGGCTGGGGTAGTCTCTTGCGCGCTGTCACACCGGTTTGAAAGTGGCCAAAAAAAAAGTGGGGGGAGAGAAAGAGTTTGAGGTGGGACTCGTTGGAGAAGGGGAGAGAGGAGAAGGGAGGAGGGAGGAGGAGGAGGGGGGGTGTTTTGGAGGAGGGTGCGACCCGTCTATTTGGTCCCCACTGGGAAACTACCGCCTCTCACGACGGCCAAAAAGTCAGCGGCTGAATAAGGAAATGAAGCGTAATTTGAAGAAGATGGATGACCCCCCAGGGAAACACCCCCTTTTCATTCGCCTTGTACCCCACATGATAACCAATGACGCTCACTCGACCCTCTCCCTCTCTCCCTCCCCTCTTTCCCTCTTTCCCTCTTTCCCTCTTTCCCTCTCTCTCTCTCTCTCTCTCTCCGAGGGCGCTCGTGAGGAGGAGTTGTGGCGAGGACGTGCACGGCTATAGAGCACAGAGCGGCTGTTTATGTCTTAGTGTGGTGGGACAAATAAGAGCGAAAGAGTAGCCACACACAACAAAGCTCCCCCCGCTCACTGACAGCCACAGAAGCCAGCGCTCCACTCGCCCGGGATGACAGCACCAGGAAGGACGTACTTTCTCACTCGTTGTGCGCACTAAAACTTTACAAAGGCTGATTTTTCACCTCATCCGAACTCAAGCAAAGTCGCCATGCAGAGACCCGGAGGACAAGGGACTGCGTTTTCTATCGACTCTCTGATCGGGACGCCCCAACCCAGGCCGGGACACCTGCTCTACACGGGCTACCCCATGTTCATGCCGTACAGACCTCTCGTTATTCCGCAAGCGTTGTCCCACTCGCCCCTGTCGTCCGGTATCCCTCCCCTCGCTCCGCTCGCGTCTTTCGCCGGACGTCTGACCAACACGTTCTGTGCCAGTCTGGGACAAGCCGGAGTGCCATCTATGGTGGCGCTAACCACCACCATGCCTAGTTTTTCGGATCCACCGGACAGTTTCTACCCTCCACAGGAGCTGCCCGGGCCGCGGCTCAGCGCAGCCGAGCCCGGGGCGAGGAGGCAGGGGGACAGTCCGCATGGAGACGAGGTACACGGCCGGGAAAAGGGCGCAGACCTGCTCAACTTCTCCGACACTTTTCAAACCATTTCAGGTGAGACTTGGCTCCAACCTGTGGAGGACAGAGGGGAAAGTTTACTCTGGTGAAGTAGTGCGCGTTTAATATGTGCGCGTTTTATTACGTAAAGTTTACTTGGCAGTTACTGGCTGTTCTAACTGTTGACTTGGTCACTAGGACAAAGGCCATGAGGTTTTAAAACTCTTACAATTCTATATATTTTTTGTGATAAGCTTGTTATTTTCTCGTGTAGTAGTTGGGCTGTTTACTCTTACTGTCAAATAAGAGACTCTTTGGATAAATATAAAATAATCATTGCCGTTAGCTGCTCACTGAAATAAAGCTACATTTAAGAAAGTTATATTTTCTTCTTTCCGTTTACCCTGTAGCTTTACATCTAGAAAAACGTCTGAATTGTTATTTCTTATTTTCCCTGGTGCAGAAGTGACACACACTGACTTGTGTGTAGTGTTTACAAACGGTTTCTCCTGATACAGTGAGAGTGACTCTTTTGGAAATTGCTTAATGGGATTTTTACTATTTTTATGTCACGTGTTGATGTTGTTTCAACGGGAAAGAACGTTTTATTCTATTATAAGAACATGTAGTGACACCTCAGACTGAGGCCATGAGCCATGCACATTATGACAAATGAGCAAAATTCAAGTAGGCCTTAGAAACTTAAAAAGTAATTACATATTTACGCACGGGGCGTAAGCTGTAAGAATGAGTTATGTTCTCAAGTGTTGCATAGTAATTGTAAGTATCATTTACAGGCCACATAACAGAAATTGTATAGTCTGAGTGGCACTGTTTGTTAGAGGGAACTTTAAAATATGTCTTAATGACCTATAATTATAGTCATAAAATTGCACATTTTTAGATTTTAGATTTTTGACACATGTAAAGCTGCACGCAGATTAACATCAGTGTTTTGTCCTTAGGTGAAACCAAATTGTACAGTTCAGACGACGAGAAGCTGGAGCTGAAGTCTGGGGATACAGCGTGCAGCGAGCGCGAGGACAGCTCCGGGGACAGCGAGAACGAGAGCTTCTCTGACGGCAACACGTGCGGTCCCCTGTCCCAGAAGAGTAAGCTGAAGAGCGGCTCCCAGGAGACGCTCCCGGGCGGCGGCTCCGCGGGGAAGAGCCGGCGCAGAAGAACGGCCTTTACCAGTGAACAGCTGCTGGAGCTGGAGAAGGAGTTTCACTGTAAAAAGTATCTGTCTCTCACTGAACGCTCGCAGATCGCACACGCGCTCAAGCTGAGCGAGGTGCAGGTCAAGATCTGGTTTCAGAACCGCAGGGCCAAGTGGAAACGCATCAAGGCCGGGAACGTCAACAACCGGTCAGGGGAGCCGGTCCGGAACCCCAAAATAGTGGTGCCCATCCCGGTGCACGTGAACAGGTTCGCGGTGAGGAGTCAGCACCAGCAGATAGAGCAGGGCAGCAGGCCGTGAGCGCACAGGACTCTCAGACTGTACTCAGAAGCACACGAGGGGCTGCGAGGACTCATTTGGAGACACAGCGCTCCTTTTTATTTATTGTCCTGTAAATATGTACATAATGTGTATGGGAAAATAAGGATTCAAATGGGCACTATGTCATAAGACTGTAAAGATTTTTTAAGTATTTATATGTGGGCCAGATGTTCTCTTGGTTCTGTTGTGCATGTTCCGTTGGTGACTTTTGTGTTTTCGTACATTCGTTGAGCACATCTGCATGTTTCTCGTTTTGTTTGTTTGTGGGAACCACGTTTGACAACGCTCCGGAAGAAAAGGAAATAATGACCAAACCATGGGACAAGTGTAAAGTCAAATGATCTAATAAATTGCTTTATATAAAATACGAAATTAAGATTCAGTTATTTTTACGCACGAAAGACTTGGACGTGAGGAGAGATTTTGTTGGCATCCTTTACGCACAATAGGCCTAAATTAATATTTCTGAATTTAAAAATGTAAACACAACTATATTATGGATAAGAATATTTTATTTTTTTGACATATTTCTGCAAAGAAGACCAATGGACTCCAGATTTCTTTTAAATGCTCCACACCGTTATGCGTAATGTTTGCGTCACGCCTCGTTTACGATTTTTTTTTCTTTTTTAGGAAACATCCGTGTATTGAAACCTGCCTTTTAAAGTACGGGGCTGATGGATTTGACTGTGGCACGTACGTTTGTCTGTGTTGTACGTAAGGTGGACTGATGGCTCCTCATTAGACCACGCGCAGTAATGAACTTCTCCATCAGCGCAACAGACAGCAGCCATGCGCACGAGCTGCAATTAGCAACCTCCTGTTACAACGAAACCAAAACGGAATTATAGCTGAAATTATAATTCAAGATTCAATAAAGAGTCATGTTTAAATCAAATAATAAAAGTAAAATAAAAGCAGAGTAAGCCATGTATAAAAAAAAAATCACATTTGGATTTTTTTGCGTCTGAAGCGATTACATCCGTTTGACCAAATATGGCAATTTCCTCCATCAGTGTTGAATATCTATTACAAATCACAAAAATAACATTTAACCACATTTTTATTTGCCAGGAAAGGATATTTTATAGTTATGGCTTGAGTTTTATTCTTCACAGTTTCTTTCATCTCGCTCCAATGAAACCACTTATGAATAATCTGAATAAATATATTAAATTTGAGCCAGGATAAAAGCGATTCTGTTTCCAGTAAAGCAGATCCTCAGCACCTGTTTGATGATAAAGTGAAATTCCTCACATATTTCGGTTGCGTAATACACCAGTAGCCACCAGTAGCCTGAAGAAAGCAAGCAAATTTGTACCAGATCTTGCAAAACAGTGAAGTAAGTGACAGTAAAACGGCTTAATTTAGAAGCAGGATGGGAGGGATGTACTCAGAGATCTGGACTTTGGGATGGAAATACTGGAACATGTGATGATTATAATCTGAAATTTGCTGTCACGATACTAATCTCAAGCTCGATTTCGATACTAAGGAATAGAAACAATACTCAGCACAGATTCTGATACTACGATGACGTTAAAAACCAAAAATCTACTCAGCAAAGGTTCATTTCTGTCCTGTGATTGTGACGTTTTTAGTATTGATACCCGCTCAAATGAGGATCTAGTTTTGATGCTACTTTTAGTATCGATTAGTGTCTGATTTTTGATACTTTTGGCAACTCTAGAGCACAATGCAGCAGAAGAAGAGATGCAGAAGAAAGAGTGAGGCATTGAAAAGTAGCCAGATAAATATATTCTCAGTACTTTATCGTGGACTGTTGGAAAGTATCATTGGTAATCCTGTGAGCACTTTATTATTTTTGTAAGAATCGCACATTATCTAGAGTCAAATTTAATAGTCTTCAAGGAGCGTGTGGACCAAGCAATGTTTTGGAACGTTTATAGTTTTATCTGCTTTATCGAAGGATTAAAAAAACAACAACAACACTGATTTTATTTCATATCCACATTGGTCACCTGGTCTGAATATTGTTAAAATCTGGATGAATTCGAAGAGCTGTCAATCCGTTTTTGGCTCCTTTTGGCTGGAGGATGTGTTTGTAAGCTTTGAAATACATTAAGAAATTGAAATTAGAAATAAGAATTAGAATTAGATCAGCTTTCTAATGCATGTGAAGTGTAAAGTAAAAATTTGACTTGATACATTTTTTTAAATCGGCTAAATTGTTTTCTAAAAATAGCTACGAAAGGACAAATTTGTGAGTTTTGACCATATTTCCCGTCCAAAGTTTGTTTATAGTTGAACCTGTGCACTCCATCAGCTTTGACATTTGTGAGTTGTCAGATCTAAACTTGGGACAATAGACAAAAGAAAGAGGAGGTGTCACAGAGGAGTCCAAAAAAAAAAAAAAAAAAAGAAAAAAAAAAGATGTGTGTATGATGTAATAATGTCAAAGAAAAAAAAGAAGAGAAAAGAAAACTAAAGCAAGAAGAGCATCTGTTAACTGGAGAAATTCTTCAAAAATGTTTCATATTTGGGAGAATCTCTGACTGGACTGACCGTAAATAAAAATCCTAGAATAATAAATCATTTAAAATCTTTAATGTATTATCTCCCCACAAATGTCTCCTAATTCCGATCATTTTTTCACTTTCAACTCCAATTCGGAACCAAAGACGTAATATTTATTTAACGATATCTTGACGTTGGAAAGTTTTCGATAACAGACACGTCTTACTTCTTCTTTCACTGACAGTTTATCTGCTTTTAATTGACCCGCACTCCGCATTAACGCAGGCAACGTGGGTGGAGTGTCTTGCCCAAGGACACAACGGCAATACGAACTAGAGCGGGATTCAAATAGCTTTAAGTCTTCTGTTATAAATCGAGCAGATCCGTGCAGGTTTATTCTCTATTTTCGAGATAAACATCGCTGATATTAATACACAATACTTGATTAGCTTTTTTTTTTTTTTTTATTAAAGGGGACATACGGTATATACAAAACTTTAACGCGCTTTTAATCGTGTTCACTTATAGTTATCGTGCCCAGTGCGTAGTGATTGACGCTTGCATGTTTGAGGAATCCAGCATTTGAGACTTGCGCACTTAGAAATCTTCAGTTTTCACCTACCACTTATCTCCGCCCACTTTTCCCCTACATACCTGAGATTATTTAAGAACGTCAGACTCCAATGAACACATACCTAGAAATCTGCTGCTTTTTACGGCGAAATGTTCATGCGAAGAGGCGGGGCTAATCAGTTTGGCATTTTGAACAAGAAGTCAATGGAACTTTTCGATAATTTTGCTGTTTTAGCTCAATATTACAACTTACAACGACCAAAATGTAAAATAATGATCTATACATGTTAGAGTTTAACATCAAATACTTTAAAAATCATTATGCGTCATCTTTATATCATTTATATCGTCGTTATAATGTCGTTTCTTCATCATAAACAGACCTGGAGTTGTGTTTTGTTTCATTCACATGTTTAACTTTATTACAACTTTATTAACTTTTACTTCTATAAGGTCAAATTTAACAACTTCCTCACTCTAAAATTAAAAGTTAGGAGTCCATCACCTGCTTGTCTCCATGGAGATGTCATTGCTCTGCTTGGAATGTTCCACAGTATGACATTAACCGATACCTGGGAGTATGTTTTATATAACAGCTCATAAAACAAAAAAAATCCAACCAACTTTCTGAGCATATTTCCGGCATTGTCCTACGTCACACACACATGATGACGTCGGGAAAATGAGTGTCCAATAGGAACTTTATTTATTTTGTTTTCCGCCAAACTCATGTGCTCCTTCCATTTTGATCAACCCAAACTTTGCCAAAGAGTGTAGTGAGTCAAGACGGTCGACCGCTCTGAGCGTCTGTGTTCGTAACGATTGGAAAAGCCGCTCTAAGTGCAGATATTTCTCGAATAAACGCCAAATTCCGCATCTTGGTCTGTGTAATTTTTTATTTGAGAAGTTAGTTCGCTCAAAATGTATAAATCCAAATATCATAAACGCCACGGAAATGCAGGAAGTGATGATCCATGACTGACACCAAGAAAGTCATGACGCCATTGCACTTTTTGTTTTGTTTTGAGTGCAATTATATTTTTAGTTTACTTACACACTTAATATCTTGCACTTTTGTAGTTAAGGACCTAAATGACGCTTTTTTTAATGTCCAGAAACTTGTTTATACATGTTTGCGGTGTGAATTTTATTTTCTATTTTTGTATTTTTGGTACTATAGCTTTTTTTTTTTTGCAGCCACATGACACAACTACATCAGCGGATTGTGAAAAAAAGGATGTCTAACACTTCATTAGAGGGTAAAATTGGGAGTTTTAAACGCAAAATTAAGAAAAAAATCCTAAAATTGTACTAAAATTGCCTTTAAAACACCTTTATCTTAAATCATTTGGATAATTTCGGCTCTGGAACTGCCAATCTTCAGGTGAAAACGACGAAACAAAACACAACTCCAAGATACGCTTTCGATGAGGCAACGACATCGTAAAGAGTCAATTTTCGGACCTTTAACTTGCACTTTCTTTCGCTCCTTCGCGTTTTTTTTCGTCCAACGGGCTGAGTTCCTGGGCGGGTCCGGCGCGCTCGGCTCCAGCCACGGCTCCAACAGTGATGTATGGGCAGATGCATCAAATCGCACAAGATAAACAAGCGATGAGTTTGATCAGGGCCATCATAGCTTTAATTTGGCTGCCTAATGAGTCCGATCCAGTGGCGGAGATAAGAGTTGTCAGAGGCACGCCGCTAATGAATTTCTTGCCACTTGTAATCAAGGCTGGCTGTCTGAGGGCCTGTGATTAATGGGGCCCTGGAGGATTCCCTCGGCCCTAGCCTTCATTACAGCTAATGCATTCTCAGGCAAATTAACAGAGAAAAAGGCAACTGGGGAGACGCGCAGAAGAGAGAGAGAGAGAAAGAGAGGGGAAAGAGAGAGGGAAAGAGAGAGACGGGCGAAAAAGAGCGTTTATACAAGACAATGGACGGGAATGAGAAGGTGGAGGAGGAAGTTATTAAAGGAAAGGTTGTTACGAAAAAGTTTGGATTTTTTTTTTTTTTTTTTTGTTTCAGGTAAAATTAGTGGGTGAAATAGAAAGAGAGAAAGACAGAGAGAGAGAAAGAGAGTGGGGGGGGGGGGCAGGAGAGTTGGGATTTATTTTGTTTCAGGTAAAATTAAATAGAGTGAGCGTGAGAGAGAGAGAGAAAGAGGAGGACATAGAAAGAGGAAAGAGGGAGAGAGAAGGACAGAGAAAGGGAGAGAAAGGGAGGAGAATTGGGATGTTTTTGTTTCAGGTAAAATTAAATA